TTATGTGTTTTTAAATTTTTACCTAATTTCCTTCAATAAGCAAATAAATGATTTTGTTTTGCTACTAGAAAATGCAAGTCGCCAATAGATACCCCAAAGGGGAGATGATGAGACTGGCAGACATAATTGCTTGCGAATTGGCATGTAGAGGCTGCCAGGGCTTAATGTGGCGACCAATACAACACTGCATTAAGGGGCATGCATATTGTCAGAAATGCTACAAAATTGGTGAGAAATTTCAATATTTACCGTTCAAAGTTCTAATAAACACCGACTTAATTCTTTAGTTAGTCTGACTTCAATGACTGACAGGTGGATCTTTGGTCTTATCTAGAAACACTTCAATATTGTCTAGACAGTGTTTCTAGGGAAGGCTATTTAGTTTGGCCCCATTTATTTAGTTACAAATTGTTAGTAGTTAAAATCAGACGTAAATAAAAAAAACTAATAAGACACAACAGAATCACAACAAAAATCGTAAATGAAAGAACATTAAGCATTAAACAACCCGTAAATACATTCGAAAGTAGAATATAAATAGTCTATAGTGTTGAAAAAATAATAAAAGTAGAATAATAAATAGTCTATAGTGTTGTGTGTGTTGATGAGTGAAACAGCAACAAACATTAAAGACAGAGAGAAATTAAAAAAAAGTTAATAGATAATAAAAGAAAGTAGCCAACTAATGGAAGAGGGAAAGATACATAGAGATAACGATTATCAGACATGCATTGAAAAATCTGAAGAAGGGAATAAATCAGAAATGATATCGAAGTTGCAGATGATACTACGTTTCTTACCATCTACTTTCAACCAACGCGACGACCATCTATTTAATTTTTATCCCATTTACCTTACTTTAAATTTTCAGACCACATTTTCACTGGTTTCTTTGGAGGAGGGCGTCTTTTAAAGATAAAGAAAATTCCAAATGACTACTTGTCTTAGTTTGAAACTTGTGATTTTTTAAAGCGAAGCCCAGTTGAGTACAAACATCAATTTTTATGCCTATATTTACGTAGCTGGCCAAAATCGGGAATTTAGGAGATTCTTACGAAACTTTCGGAATATTTAGACTGGAGTGTTCTCTGAAGATAGTCCAAATGTTAAGTTGGTATTTGCTCCTGATTCAGAATTTGGAATTTTGGAAGCCGAGGCTGCAGCGTGCAGCAACGTTCATTTTTATCTCAACATTTACTTAGTAGCGAAAAATCCGGATTAATTTCAATATGAATAAGGCTTTTCAGATTTCAAGATTAAGACGTTTTCTACAAGTGGGCACATTTGCAGATTAACCTTTGCTTTTGATCAGAAGTTAGCAATTTTTAGAGGAGAGAATGCACTTGCGTGACTTTCCTCACTATCTGACTTGCGTTTTCAAAGATTCCAAGATTTCAGAAATTTTATTTGAGATGTAAATTGAACAAAATCTTCACTCATTTTAGAACCAAGTTTTTATATACAGATTGTGAAAATTTCAAGATTCTGCACGCTTTAGATTGAAAGCTACGATTTTTTAAAGCAAATATTGCAGCTGCCCAGAAACGCTAATTTTTAGCTGAAAATTTACGTACTCGCCAAAAATCAGGATTCAGTTCAATGAAATTTTCTGAAATTTGAGACTCAGCTCTCGTCTTTAAGCTGCCATACTTTAATGTTTATTTTTGTTTTCGACCAGAAATTAGGAATTTTTAGGCGCGAGTGTTCACTTGCATGCGAACGTTTATTATTTGACTAGCGTTTTCAAAGGAGTTAAAATTTTGATTGTTATGTAATTTCAGCAAAGCCTGCAGTTCTTTTTAAACGAAAATGTGTATTTTCTATCCATAGATCTCATGGTCCACCAAGAGAGTTTAAAGTTGCTATTGCCTCAGATTGACGGTTGCGATGTTTAAAGGAGAGGGTGCAGCTGTGTGAAATCGTTCCTTTTAGCCCAACATTTACTTGGGTCAAAAAAAATCTAAGTTAAGCGGCAGTTGAATAAAATTTTAACAATTTTTAAACTAAACTACCTTCTTTAAGCTTGCAAATGTTGATGTTTCTTTTGATTTTCAATCAGAAGTTACACATTTTTGGAGGAGAGCCAGCACTGACGTAAAAAGTTTTATTATTAGACTTCCGTTTTCAAAGGTGCTAGCATTTTAATTGTGATGTAATTTGAACAAAGTCCTTTTGGGCGCTTTTTTAATAAAGTGTAGTTTGTAGACTGTGAACGTTTCAGGTGGCTACTTGATCCATATTAAGAGCTGTGGTTTTTTAAAGCTGAGGGTGCAGCTGTGTGGAAACGTTCATTTTTCGACCAACTTTTACTTAGTCGCCAACAATAGGGATTAGATATGATTTTTACAAAATATTAAAAATTTTCAAATTCAGCTGTCCCCTATTTGCGTTGTTTTGCAAGATGCGAATTTTTAAAGTACAGAGCGAATTTGGATTTGAGCGCAAAACGTCTACTTTGAGCACGATAATTATTAAGCTGTAAGAAATCAGGTTTTCTCCCAATTTCTCTGAGACTTTTCGCATCTTTAAAACCAAGTGTCTTGTAAAGATAGGAAAAATTTCATATTCGCACTTGCTTTGATTTGGAAGATACCAATTTTTAAAAGAGCGAGCGCCGTTTAATAAAAACCTCCATATTGAGACCGATATTTATTAGGCTAGTAAAATCAGAAAATTCACGGCGATGTTAATAAATATTTCAGATTCTTTTGAATAAATTACCTGCAAAAAATGCTGAAATTTTCAAATTGCTCCTTCCTTTAACCAAGTAGATAGGAATTTTTGAAGCAAAGAGCGCAATTGAATGAAAACATCCATTATGAGATCGATATTTACCGTGCTGCCAACAATGAAAATTACCGAAGATTCATATGAAACTATGAATATTTCTAGACTGAAAATGTCATATTGGTAACTGATTTTGTTTGGTAAAAGGGAATTTTGCAATGAAAGATCGCAGTTGAACAAAAACACTTATTTTGAGAACGTTTTTTTACTATGCTAGCAACAATCCGGATTCTTGGCAATTTCTTTTAAACCACCAGGGTTTTTAGAACCAAGTGTCGTCTAAAGATTGCAAAAGTTTGCGGATTGCTACTTGCTTTAACTAGAAAGCCTCGAATTTTTAAAAGCAGCTCTCAATTGAGTAGAACTGTTTATTGAGACCAATATTTATCATGCTGGCAACAATCAGGATGGAAAGCGATTTTAACCAAACTTTGCACATTTGTAGAACCAAGTGTATTCTAAAGATGGTAAAAATTGCAAATCTCCACTTGCTTTAAGTTGGGAGAGGCGAATTTTAGGATAAGAGGGCGCACTTGAATAAAAGGGTTCATGTTTTCGCACCAAAATTTACTGCTTCAATGTCATTTATTTAAATATGGAACAAATCACGCCATTCTTCCGATAAGCGCATCATCGACTATCTTTTATTATTATTATTACATTATTATAAATTAAAATTTCGAATCGACATTAATAAAACACGCATTTTTTTACGTTTCAGGAGAACTTTGTAAGCTTTGTGGCAACGAGCAGATTGGCAACCGCAGCTACAATATAGAAAGACTAGTGGATATGTTGACTATTTCATGCAGATTTGAGGACAAAGGTTTTTTCATATCACCTTATTTATCAACATTTTGCATCTTTCGTTTAAAACAACCAGTATTTTTGACCAAATTTATTCAACGCAGCTCGCCTTGTTCAACCGGACTGTTTCGTGATTTTTACTCAGAGAAACCCGCATATTAATTTACCATTAAGGACTTAATTCAAGAACATATTTTCTTTCCTTGGACTGCACACATTAACACTTTTTTCACACACAAGGCAAACTATTCAGCACCTTGAAAGCCTTTCCGCTGCTTTAACTATTTCTATCCACTACATAGTTTTGCACGGCTTTCAAATAATTCTGTTTCTTCAGGTTGCAACAGAAAACTGCCGTTCGCTCACATAGAGCAGCATGAGAACGAGTGTCAATCATACAAGTTCAAATGCCCATTCGACAAGATCCTAAAATGTCCTTTTACTGGGCTGAAGCAACAGATGATATTTCATTGCCTCTTAGTGCATGGACAGTTCACTTTTGTTGATAGGACTCCATCGGAAGTAAGTTTTTTTTAGAGGGGTTTCAATGGGACACTCTGTACATTTCTCGATTCTTTTCGGATCATGCTAAGGAAAACCTGAGGTTGTTATAATCTTACTTTTCGCGGTTACAGATAGAACAGATTATTGACCGCAGATCCAAATAATAAATTGCTAATGTTTTGCTCGTCCTGTGCGTATGCAAAGGCTTAAAGTCCTATTTGAGGAAGCCCCAATACTGCAATGAAAATTTTTAGTGGGTTTCATGCAATAAGTTTGTACAGGGTGGCCTCAAGTGAACGAACGCATTCATTTTTATGTGCTTATTCTACTTTTAGCGTTGCAAGAACGGCGCAAATCTTGCAAGAGCTTTTCGATTACTTTGTACACTCAGTACAAGTTTATTTCACAACAAAGTAGTGTTGTTTACTGAGTTTATTTTTTAAATCAACCAATGTTAGACCTAAAAAAATCTGCAGAAACCAAATCGGGTGACAGCGGAGGTCATTGTCCAACACCAAGCCCTTCTGTATTTTCCAGAAGAAACTGTATTTCGAAAAAATCCTCCGGGAAAATGCCATCAATCATCCAGCGTCACCATCCTACTTCTTCTGCGACAATGAACACATGTTTCGAGTGCTACTGAAACTGACCAAAAAGAGCATGTTCATAAAAGTGTCCCAAATGAGACTGCCCAGCGATACTGAGCCACCCCACGATTGTATCCTCAAAATCTACAATGAAAATCATAATGTTCTTAAGGCCTATAGGCATACGTGCTGCTTAGGTGACGACTTGAGTGGCAACAATTTTCAGCAATTGAAGATCGATCTTCAGATGGTCAATTGTAGTAATTATTTTGTAATCAGCTTTGAGCGAAAGTGAATTTTAGCATTTATATGGCCGACTAAGCACTAGATAATCTACTTGTTTTTAGTATTTTTATTGTGGAAGATGGGGGATTTTTTTGGTTGAAATCTCCTAGTTTTTGTTCTGTCTTCACTGTTTAGACGTTATTTGAAGCTTCAAATGTACTAAACCTGTGACTGTGATATTCCAGAATATTTACAATCAAGAGAGTTGATTAAGATTAATAAACAATTTTAGATCGCGCGTTTTTTGCTCATTCATCCGTTCCTTTATTTTTCTCCTTAAATATACGTGCAATTTGCCAAATAATTTCAAGTTATAAGCTTTTAACGTACCTTAATTCTAATACTGAGTTTTTATATTTTTTTCAACAAAATGTATGGTTTTACAAAACTGTGCTTTTTATCACAAAGTATAATTTTTCTCCCCAAGTGAACGTAGAATCGAAAAGTAATTTTAATTGGCCGAGAAACCATTGTGTGCAGTGTTTTGTATGCTGAAAAAAATCGAGAGTCAAATTTTTTTTAGCTATTTTCTCAAACAATAAAACGGTTTTATTTTTTTAAATCGGAAATTGCGACTTTTTAACAAAAAAGTCAAGAGCTTTTTCATTCACAAGTGAATGTCGCATGGGAGAATATTTATATCTAAACCATTGGCGTGTTTCGTTTTCTTTTTCTGAAAAGAATCATATGCATAATAATTAAGCGGCAATTTTCTCGCACAATAAAACGGCTTTTATTTTTTTAGTCAGAAACTGTGCAATTCAGCAGAAAAACTCAGCAGGGCTTTTTTATTCCAAACTGAATTATAAATATTATAGAAACATTTTTGCAGATAAACCATAGAAAATATTTGAAAACTAGTTTTTATTTGCAGAAAAACCATTAGCGTGCACTTATTTCATTCTTAAACTTGTGAAATGCTAAACATTCTGATAATTTTCGATCTAAAAAATAAGGTTTTCGATTCAACAAAATTGAAACTATGTGACGTCTGCTGTCAATCTGACGCTGCTGATCATGTGCCTACTAGATCTACTACCTAGAGAACATCAAGCGACCAGCTTTCAAACGGACATCTGTTCTTATGTCATTCTCCTGAATTAGTCTATTGGGTAGAAAGTTTAGTGGGTAGAAATGACTGTGGCCACTCTCTTTCGTCAATGTTTCTGAAACTAGCTGAGTTTTTAATGTTTTTTTGAAGAACATTTACGATTTTCCGAAAGAGAAAGTTTTCCTAACAGTTTAGTGCGATTTTCGTAAAAATCAGTACAGTAATTAGAAAAAAATAGCTTTTTTGTGAGCTTTGTGAATGCTTCTTAAACTAGCGGCGTTTTTAATTTTTTTTTGAAGAACATTTACGATTTTCCGAAAGAGAAACTAGAAAGTTTAGTGGGTAGAAATGACTGTGGCCACTCTCCTTCGTCAATGTTTGTAGAACTAGCGGAGTTTTTAATTTTTTTTGAAGAACATTCACGATTTTCTGAAAGAGAAAGTTTTCCTTTATAGTGTAGTGCGATTTTCGTAAAATTTGTACAGTAATTAGGAAAAAAATTGCTCTAACAGAGTTGAAACTATCTGACGTCTGCTGTCAAAGTGATGCGGCTGTGTGGACATACGCCTACTATATCCAGCATCCGGAGTTTTATACAAGGGATATTTTGGTTCGTAAACGACGCTTGGATGTGATTCGATTAATTACTTTTTCAATGTGAAGAACGGCAACCACCCACAAATTAATTAATTGATCAATTCCCGAGTTGAAAAGTCCAAACGCCCCCTGGTGGCTAAAATTATAACTACACGTTAACTAGTAATTTGACACTTGTTTTGTTGACCTTGGTGTGTGCGATTTGTTTTGTTTCGTTCTAATCAACTTTTGCAACATTTTAAAGAAATATAGAAACACATCGAAAAGTGTGTAAGTATTGTTTTATGTTATAGTTATATGAAACACATTTAGTAGTTTAAAATGCGTTTTCTTTTTCGAAAATATCTAATTTGATTGCATCGGCCCTCTTTCGCGCAATATTACGCCCCTTATTTTTCAATTTTTTTACGCTGTTGATTGATGAATTAGATTGTTGTCTTACAGAGAGAATTGTACGCATGGATTTCAGGTGATTTTTAAATCTTCCATATTAAACCCATAAGCATGTGACTTTATCTATATTTTATTCCCGTATAGGAACATACGAGTAAAATAGATGGCGCCTACGGGAGTTTCTCACCGTTGTGTTTCATGCCCGACTACTTCGGACGTCTAGGCCAGTTTCACTAGACGTACAAGCGGACGACACAGCATTCATTGAATCACCGTCAATTTTTAAGGCGCAATAATACATTTGAATACAAGTCAAACCCGTCCAATTGCATGCGTCAATTCACGTGGATTTGACGTGACACAATAAGAAGTTGGTGACTTTTTCGTACAAGTCACGTCTTTTTCACATGATTGTCACGATCGATGTTGGCCGTTTTGTTAATAGGAGTTGAAGTTGCCCGAACTTAGTGGTAAGTTGGGAGAAACTCGTCTATGGGGAAATGATTGTCAAACTTGAGAATTCAAGATTTTTCGGAGAAAATCCGCCAAATGAAGTGGGGAAGATTCCACCAATTACTGGCCTGACCTGATACTTCTGAAAAATACGTTCTTGCCAAAGTTAATCCAACGTATTTTCCGCAAAATACTAATTACTCTGATGAGAAGCTAAAACATACGATTGCTGGCATCGTAAGGCCTACTGAAGACTGGACATTGATGACTTCTCCAAAATTTGCAGAAAAGTCCTTAATTTTTAGGCCTCCTCCAAGTGGCCACGAATCACTCTTTTAAGCGAACCTGCGCCAATTTCCCCCCCGCTTTGATTTTGGGGCAGAAATAAGGCACATTTGGAGATTAAAATGCCCTAAGCCGATGATTATAAAGCACTTTCAAAAGAAATAGTTGAAGTCTTCCACTTGAACGGTTTCAATTACAAAATTTCCTTCGTCCCACTTGGCTTCTGCCCCTTAAATTTGAGGTTTTCCTCAGTGTATTTGGGCAAAAAATCCATACCAGTGTGGTGCCATCTCCCCTTAGGACAGGAAGTGTGCGCCCCAAGTATTGAACACTTCCTTTCGATTTATTTGAAGCGGCGCAGCAGGTTTAGTCGAATAGCGGCAGCAGAATACTTTCACCATCGAGTTTCAGTCGTTCGGTAGTTGAACTCTTGTACATACATCCGTCCTCAGTGATATTATTTACGAATTGTTGCCATTTAAATTGTCCGGGATTATGTTCAGTTAGTGTCCCGAAGCCCGGACGAGCCCAACCCGTGTCGGGCCGCGACGTCTCGCTCCCGAAAAATGTGACTCGCAGTGTTAATATTGAAGAAAAGTGACTCTTTAATACGGACCATGACAAATAACGCCTTAACGAGCGTGTAAGTAAATGTGATTCTTGTCCTCTACCGTTAAGCTGTTACGCAAAACGCGTTGGTCTTGTAAATATTGTAATAACAACAATTGAAGGAAATTTGTGTGTGGAGGGAACCTTGAAGAAAATGCGCTGTTCGGCTGAGAACAGTGGGAACCTGACGAAACTGTTCGCTTGCAACAATTCATATTAACAAAAACAATGCGGATTTGATGAAATTCGCTTTGGGATCGCGGGGTTGGCCAAGTGCAATTTAAGGGTGGCGGCTAATTGGCACGGCTGTATTGACCGCTCGATGCGTTTTTCAATCAAACACTGCAGCTAAGCAGCTCAAAATTGTCGCTTTGCCTGCAATTAACAGCCTATTTGATCTGATTGATTTTTGAAGACCCACAGCCATTTTTTGTACCGAATTTACATTTTCCAGTGAATTGAGAACACACTACAGTTTGGGAACGTAAAAGCTTCTTACTAACAACGTACGTAGTAACTGATGAAGTAGCTCCTTACTCACTTACGTAGTAACTTTACGTACTAATTTACGTTCTAACTCACTTACGGAGTAACTTATGTAGTAGCTAACTTACTTATGTAGCAGCTCTCCTCACTAATTTACGCAGTAGTTAACTTACGTTAGTACGTCAGCTCCTTAATTATAAAATAAGTATGAGAACAGCAAATTAATACGATTCTCATGCTGTTTGTAGTTTGTAGATTGACTTTTTGAATGTTTTTTGGGAATAATTCAGCAGCGTGGCAACTCTGAAAAAGAGTAGGATAATATGAAATTTTCTTATGCGTGAGGTACTTAGCAATTTATTGAAATTAAATATAATACACACAAATTGGCTATAATTTTATAATATGGGAGTGATTCAAAATTGGTGAGTGTATTAGGAGTACAGAAACAATAGTAAAAAAAAATAATTGTTATTGAAAACTGATAAATTTGCAAAAAGCGATATTTGAAGGATGGCAACAATGTTTTTCGAGCCTAATTAACATTGTGTGAAAACCGGTTGCTTCGTAATTATTAAAAACCCCGGTAACCATGGAAAAATAGAGAAAGTGACAATCATGATCACGACAAGTAGTAAATTCAATAGAATTCGTTAAATGTAGGGATCTACTTTTTTGAAATGTCAAAGTGTCAACGAGAAATTGTTTATTGTTGCCATCATAACCTCGAATTGATGTGTATACAAATAAACATACAGTTCTGTCTTCTCGTATTCACTCGGAGTCACTCTTCTCGTATTCGGTCAAATAACTCCCGCTCAGTTAGTACCGGTGATCAGTAAATCATTGGTTTAATGTGTTTTTGTGTTCTGTGTATCTTACATGCAAGGTAGGAATGTAGCCTTTCCTCGGTATTATACCTGTAACTTTCTGTTAATCACAAAAAAAAACCTGCTTGACTTTTCATCAAAAAATTGTAGAAGAGAACTTTTTTATTTTCAAAAATTTTCGCAATTTGAAGCAAAGACAGTATTCCAACAGGGTTCGAATCAAAGCTGAGACTATTTAAAAATAATGCATATTAACAAAGTTTACATTCGATTTTCAACTGTTAAATTAATATTTTCTAAAAATGTTTGAAATTTTTTTAAAATTATTTTTTGCCTACTCTCCAATTGAGCCCCTACTACTCCTTAAAAGGAATGACGCCAATTTTGAATCACCCTGTATAAAACACACGTTAAGGGTCGCAATTCGCTTGTAAGATATCAAGCATATTATTGTAGAAGAAATTACCAACAAGTAGTTAAGTCAGTGTAGAAGAGCCGTTCCGAAGACATAAAGCGTCGATGGAATAAAATAAATCATGTTACTGAGCATTTGTATCTTAAATTTTCTAGAATTTGTAGCATCTGAAAATAGGTGGATGGCAGATCACGTTCTCACCCTAATTGCACAGTGAAGACCGTCGAAGATCGAAGAACGAAGTCAACAACTATTCAAAAATACTGAAGATTATAAGAAATTGAATCAAAAAACCAAGCAGAGGTGAACGAAGAAAGATATTGTGCAGAAAGAAAAGTTAGAATATAATAGATTCTTGAGGAGGGAAACTAGTAATAATCCAAAAGATGTAGTCCGCCGAATAATCCTGGAAGCTGAAGGCCGTTAAACCGAACGCGTTTGGTTGGCGTTGGTGCAGGGTAGCGCAAATGGCTTGCTGCGCCAACCCCACGCACCGTTGCAGTAACTCAGTTCCGTTGCTGGGAAAAAAATTGTTTACTTGTTTTTGGATTTATTTTAAGGGCCATTTATTAATTACATTTTAAACATTTCTTCAAAATTTCAGATTTTTCCAGTTTTAGCCAAATTACTCTTACTAAATGCTGACAATTTGAAGGTATTTATTGCGAAAAATGATGAAACAAATTTCGAATTTGTCGTCAGTTGTGACAGACAGAAGTGTTGCGATCTCTTTCCAGCGTCGAATTTTGAACGAAAATCAAATAATTTTCTATCAACACACGAACAGAATAAGCGAAAGCTTATAAAAGATTATTTGAAAATCTTGTCACCTCCATTTCTTTGAAGACTGTAGCGTTTGTTAAAAAAAAAATCGGTTTTTTAGTTTGCACTGAATTATTTTTTGCTTCATTTTCTACTCAAAAACGCACTATTTTGTGGAGTTTCACTTAAGTAATACCAATATAAATATCTGGATCTCGAGGATTTATACGCGAAAAATTACAAGATCAATTTATAGCTTTGTAAAAATTTGACAAAAACTTTTTTCAGTGTCGAATTCGGGACAGAAACAGAAATAAATTCCTCTCGTTTTTCCACGAAAACCATTAAGGTTTTCTCCAAAACCGAGCACAAAACCAAAAGTTTTTAATCGAAAACGAACAAAATTAATTTTGCTTGAAAATTCGCCGCATTCATCGGTTTGCAAGAACCTTAAGAAAACCCTTCTCAGCTTCGACTTTGGCACAAAGCAAATAATTTTATTCAGTTTTTTACCGAAAGTAATTAAAATTATCTTGAAAAAACGATCAGAGAGCAAAATTTTGCAAAAAATTATTTGGAAAATTCGCTGCCCAAAAATTTGTGGAAATATTTTTGCAGCTTCGAATTATGGAAATAATAATTTTTGCTGTTTTTCCAAAAATATTTCCCCGAACAGAAAAAGCGAAACTTGATAGTCATTTATTTGGATACTGGGGTTTCTTCACTTTTAGGTCCAAAGCGTGTTTTTCCTAAAAAATACTGGCAAACTGAATCTTTTGCAAAAAAACTAAGAGATTGATTTTACAAGAAAACTCGTCGACTTTCTTTGGGCTCAGTTCTGTGGCTGGGAAAATCTAGATGACTTTTTATTAGTTGTTTGAACAAAGTAGTAAAACGTTACTCAGAAAAAATGTTGATAACCTTTTTTTTAGGCGTGAAAACTCCAGTCTCGGGTCTCGTAAAGCTTTAATAAATTACTTATAACTCATTAACCGATGAGTTAAAATTCGTTAACTCAAAGAGCGGCCACAACACGATAGCGCAACTCAACACAGTGTCACTCAGGCACTGTGTGACTTGCGCTAACACCACGTGATTTTACACTTTAATTAATCAATTTGCTTGAGTTAGCTTAGCTAGTTAATGGTAAACTAGCACTTTTTCCTTGGTTTGATGCCTTAATATAAATTCAGATATTTGGCAATCAATACACTTTGCTTGATTGGAGCAGCAAGGGAAAATTACGCTCCGTGAAAAATTGAAACCTTTCACAAGGTTTCAAATTGCGAAAAATCCGCCTCTTTAATCGGAAAAGTCGATTTTCTGACGTACCTTAACGAGATAATGGAAGCACGAGCCATCGTGCTGGAAACCAGGTCGCCGCTTTCACCCTCTACTTCAATCGCTTCTAGAATACTTTTCAGTATACTCAACCGACCGGCAAAAGGCTCATTAATTATTTAACGATTTTTAAAATTTGATTATTTGTGGCGCTCGATCTAAATCCTTTTCAGAACCACACGCTATCAAGAGATTTACCTTGATCGCCATTCCACGACCATTCCACCACACCGGATTGATCCACGCTTTCATCCTATTGGAATGATCGACATTTCGATTCCTTAAAGGGCTGGAATCCTGCGGGAAATTTAGCGGACATTCCAAATACTGCAGGATATTGATATTATGGGAATCTGTCCGGGGATCTAAGAAAAACGGGCAATTTCCGCTAAGTTTAGTTGACAATTTTATTTTGATTTCAACTGATCAAGTGAAAGTGACTTATTCATCCTCTGTTTTTACAGTAGAAATCGATTTACTTGTGTAATCTACTGCCTAGGCTTAAAGGTCTTTCACAGATCAGAGACTTCATCTCTATTTGCAGTTTCGAAGCTGTAAAAGTTTGAATTGACTTATAAATTTAAAGACATTTTTAGCAGTTTTAGACTCAAGTGTTAATTTTTAATCAAACTTTGACATAACCTCCGAAAATCACGATTCCATGCGATTTTTACGCAATTTGGAACAGTTTCAAATCAAGGTGCTTTCTATAAGTAGCGAGAACTTTATGTCTCTGCGTGTTTTCAATCAGACGTTATACATTTTTAGGCAAAAGCGTGCACTTGCTCGAAAGCGTGTACGTGTATTAATTGTTTCGCGTTTTCGCAGCTGGAACAGATTTGGCTGGTCGAATTAGAAAAACATCCTCAGTATTTTCATACGAAAGTGTCTTGTGTACACTGTGCAGGTGGTTACTTACTCCAGCTTAAAAGTTAGGATTTTGTTAAATCGAGGGTGCAACTTTTATTTTATTATTTTACCAACTTTTGCATACTCAGCAAGGCTGAAAAGTCGACGGGGTTTACCTCAAATATTCATAATTTTGAGACTAATCTGTCTTATAAGTTCTGAAATGCTCATCGTAATTGTTTTTTCCCATGAGAAATTGGGAATTTTCAAGCGAGAGCGGGCGCATTCATAAAGACTTTATTTTTGACTTGCGTTTTCAAGTCTGCTAAAATTTTAATTCTCGTCTAATTCAAAGGAAATCCTGAGCATTTTTGAACTCAAGTGTCTTCTATACACTGCAAATTCTCAAGTTGCCACTTACTGGAGGGTGAGAGGTAAGATTTGTTGAGCCCACGATGCAGCTATGTAGCTGGAAATGTTAATTTTTAGCCCAACTTTTACTTAGTCGCGAACGATCAGAATTATACGCGATTTAAATAAAAATTTCGGAATATTCATGCTAAGGTCTTTTCTATACGATGTGAAATTAAAATGTTTGTGCTCGTTTTCGATCACAAGTTAAAAATAATTAGGCAAGAGAGTACACTTGCGTGAGAACGCTAATTATTTGCCTTGCATTTTCAAAATTGGAAACATTTTAGTTGTACTCTGATTTAAACGAAGTCTGTAGTCTTTTTATATTGGAATTTGTTTTGTGTACTGTGTGTGAATATTTAAAATTACTACGTCCCCCAAATTTTTTTTCAAGGATTTTTTTACCGAGGGTGCAACTGTTGGGAAATGTTCATTATAGCCCTCCATTTAATTAGTCACGTAAGTATCAGAATTCAACGCGATTTAAATAACGTTTGCTGGATTTTCAGAATAAGATATCTTCTATAAGTTGTGAAATTTCCATGTTCGTTGTTGTTTCTAATTATAAGTTAGACATTTTTTTAAGCGTGAGAGTCCCCATGCATAACTTTACTTTGCTTTACTTTGAACAAGATCTGCAGCATTTTATACTCAAGTATCTTCTATACACTGCGAAAATTCCAAGATGCTACTTGTTCCAGATTGAGAATAACTATTTTTTGTAGTCGAGGATACAGCTGGATAGAAACGTTCATTTTTATCCCTAATTTTACTTAGTCGTAAAAAATTACCATTTAGTGCAGTTTCAATGCAAGTTTAAGGAGTTTCAAACTAAAGCGACTTCTATCAGTTATGAGAATTTTGAAATTGAGGAAAATCCACTCGAACCTTTATAATCTCAAGCGTCACGGCACTATATACCTTCAAGCCCTTCTTCAAAAATTAAGAACTCCAAAAGTAAGACAAGTGAAAACTTCAAAGTTTCACAGAGGGGTTAGAACTTAGAACGAAGCCTCAAATTGAAGAAAACTGACTAGAATCAAGATACGGTCAAGTTTTTTTTAAGCAATTTAACCTCAAGCGGCACGACGTGAGACTCTAGACACTTTCAAAGCTATTTTCAAAAATTAAAAACTGCAAAACTAGGACAAATAAATACGAAGCCTTAAATTGAGGAGAATACACTCGAATCCAAATAAGATCTGGGTTTTTTTTAAGCCTTTTAATCTCAATCGACTAGACGAGCGTTCTAGACAATTTTCTCTAGTTCTAGACAGTTTCAAGTCCATTTTTGTGCGTCTTAAAAGCTAGAAAAAAATCAGTTATACGGTAATTTCAGGGCAATTAATCTTCTTAGACACAAGTGTCTTCTATAGGCTAGAAAAATTGCAAAATGTTACTTGTTGTAGATTGAAAGTTTAAATTGCTTTAAGTCGACCATGCAGGTTTGTGGAGACGTTCATATTTAGCCTAGGGTTTACTTAGTCGCCAAAAATCATGCTTGGATGCGATTTGAAAGCAATGTTCTGCAGTTCTGCAATTGTCTTCTATGAGTTTCAAAATTTTTTTATTTTTGTGAGTTTACAATGCGAAGTTATGAATTTTTAGGCGAGTGTACGCTTGCATGAAAACTTTTATTATTTGATTAGTTGCGTCTTCAGAGCTGATAAATTTGACGATAAGACCTACGGATTTTTAGATTCCAGTGCTTCTTAAGATTAACAGCGAATAATTTTTTCGCGGAAGACGTAGTTGGGGAGGAAAGTTTTTGCCCAACATTTACGTTGTTGCAAGAAATGATGGTTAGATGCGATTTCAAGAAAATTTTCAGCAATTTCAAACTAGGCTGTTTTCTTCACGTCTGCGGAATTTAAGCTTCTGTGTGTGTTTGATCAGAAGTTATGAGATTTCAGTGAAGTGCGTGCATTTGCATGAAAACGTTTTACTTTTTGTTTGTTTTGAAGTTGCAAACTATTCAATTATGGCGCAATTTGAATGAAATTACCAGCCGGTTTAGCTTTACGTCTCTTGTATACACTATGGATATTTCAAGTTGCTGCTTCGTTTAGCTTAGAAGTTAAGATTTTTTTATACCGAGGATGCAGCGGCGTGAAACGTTCCATTTAAGCTCAACATTTACTTGGTCGCAAAAATAGCACAATTTGCTTCTATATAAAATAAATTAGCAATGCTTTTAGACAAAGTTGTCTTCTATCAGACGACAAATTTGCTTGCGGGAAAACGCCCATTATTTGACTTGCGTTTTCAAAGCTACAAAAATTTCAATTGCTGTGTGATTTTCAACAAGTTTTCCGAATTGCAACAATAAAGTGTCTGAATGAATTTTCCGAGTAGAAAAGTGAGGAAGCAAAGGCCTTAGGACAAAAACTTGGAAGATAAAATCTTATAGAATACGATGAAGCACCAGTCAATACCAAACAGACTAACAATCTATTAGGCTGAAAGAATGACCAATGCGGAGCAATGTAAGAGAAAAATCAAGGAAGGTATGAAATTAGTAATTTCAAGGAAAGGAAACATTAAAAGAGTGTGTTTTGCACACCTTTGTGCTTTAGTGCGCTGAGGATTACTGCTTGCCTTTTTATTTCGTTTTTTATAGATGATTGATTGGATGATTGCTGATTTATTAATTTCTATTTATTGATTATTATTAGATTGACAACTTCACTTTTCCATTGTTATACACCAAAAACACCAGCACAAAAATAATGGTAGGACGCCGAACTGACACGTTCATAAATGTTCTATCCGCGCCAACAGAGTGAAAATCCACACTTTGGTAGAAAATGACACACGTAGAAGGAAGCGGTAAAATTGTCTTAAAGCACAAAACGGTGGTTATTAGAATTTGATATCTTCCTCCACTTTTCTTCTTCCTAATGCGTTCTAGATGAACCCCTCTAGGGGTTTCAAGCACTCTGAGAAAATACTTTAATTCCTAGCTGGTTTCACAGACCTCAATTAAACAATTCCATTAATTAATCTCACATTTTTACGGCTTCTAACTCACTCACTTTACTAAAGTTGTTTTTGCTTCAATTTTCTCCTTTATATGTTGCTGTCTTTACAAACCATTTACACAAGCCAACACTTCGCTGGTGATAAGCCTATAAGTTAATGGTGATTGAAATAGATTTTTTATCTTTCCAGGTAAACGCCTTTCGGGAAACGTCGCGTGATGCTTTTGCAAAATGTGAACATCTTCCTAAGTTCCGATGCAAGTGCCATGAAGAAACCCATTGAAAATTTGGAAACTGAGCAGAAAGTTCCACAGAAAACCCAGGAAGAATGCAGTCGCGTTTTGCACATTTTGGACTCAGCCCCTGCACCAGGATGGACCGCCCACGTGACCAAAGAAGGACGACTCTATTATTGCAAGTAAGTGAAGAGTTCGATTAAATTCTTAATCTAATTACCTAGATTAGTCGGGTGCTAAATAACCATTGTTGCACTTTCGAATATCGGCGTGCTGGCATTCGAACGGTATTTAGACGACGACTTTAAATGCAAAGACATCTGTATCCTTTGCCTAATTGTATTCCGGTCATGCATCGGATTGTCGTTGAAATCGCGGGAAATTACTGCTCATTTAATTGCGACTAATCGACGATTTTTGCTGGAGAAATTTACCATTTTTCAGCCATATAACGCGTTCTGCTGGATGGCTACCACCGGCAGATGTCTGGAAATCTGGCAAAGACTCGCTACCATACGGCTGGGAAAGGGCTGTAGATGACACTGGCCGTTCCTACTTCATCAAGTAAACAACCACTCAGAAAATAAAAATGTTCCTTTAGAAATGCTTTTAATCTTATCCAGCCATGTGAACAAGACCACAACTTACGAGACACCAGTTTACAAAAGTGCGGAGAACCTTCCAAAGCCCAAACCAAGAACAGTGGTTCTGGAACGATCGGCCAGTTTGGGCTTTGGATTTGTGGCTGGTTCGGAAAAACCGGTCATTGTCAGGTTTGTTACTGAAGGGGGACCCAGTGCTAATGAGGTAAGTAACTCTAATCGTGAAATGACAATTTCACATTTCTTTGACTTGCATTTAAAAAGAAACTTTATTGGATCACAGTTCAATGTGTTGCATGATTAACAATTAGCCTTTTACTCAATTTTCACTCTAACGCATTCGAGGCCAGTTGTTGGTTCATCGATTCTTTGTGCACCTTCATTTTTGCAGGTTCGCTCGAAAACATCTCTGATAATGCCAGTGAACAGTTTAATGGCTTTTCGTTGTCATTTTGGAGATTTTTGATGCAGTTATTAATTCGCTGTAGGCTGGGTAACTCAGTTAATGTTTAGGAGTTGGCGCAGTGTTACGCAAATGGCCTGGTGCGCCAACCCAACGCATCGCCGCAGTAACTCAGTTCCGTTGCTGGGAAAATGTTTTTTACTTGTTTTTAGATTTATATTAAGGGTTATTTATTAATTATATTTTTAAATTTCTTCAAAATTTCAGAATTGCCGGAATTGTGTTGGAGCACCAAGCCATTTGCGCCGCACTGCGCCAATTCCTAAAAAACCCAGGCCTACTTTCTTTAACGTTTTTTTCTTTACTTGTTTTTAGATTTATTTTAAGGGCCATTTATTATTAATATTTTTAAAATGTCTTCAAAATTTCAGGATTTTCCAGTTTTAGTCAAGTTACACTTTCTTCAAAATGATCAATTTTCTAAAGTTTCGCTTAAAAATGCTGACAATCTTAAGGTATTTTCCGCGAAAAATTATGAAAAAAATTTCCGATCCTTCGTCGCTTGAAAAAGTTTCAAATCCCTTTCCAGTTTCGAATTTGGAATAAAAATGAATAAGCGAAAGTTTTTCACAGATTATTTGGAAATCTCGTCACCTCCATTCCTCTGAAGACGGTAGAGTTGGTTAAAAATAATGTGGTTTTTTAGTTTTATCTGATTTTTTTTGCTTTACTTTCTACTCAAAAACGCTCTATTTAGTGGAGTTTTAATCAACAATACTGATGTGTAATGTAATGTAATGTGTAAAAATTTTACAAAATTATTTTCAGAGTCGAATTCGGGACATAAAAGAAAATAAATTCCTCCGTTTTTCCCCGAAAACCATTACGGTTTTCTCCAAAACCGAACACGAAACTAGCTCTTTTCTAATGATTTTCTTCTTTTCTGACGAGAATTGGGTCTTTTCAGCCAAACATGACAAAATTAATTTTGCTAGAAAATTCGCCTCATTCATCGGTTTGCAGGGAACTTTAGAAAACCCATTTCAGCTTCGAATTTGGCATAAAAACCAAATAATTTTATTCAGTTTTTACCGAAAGTAATTAGGATTATCTTGAAAACAACGACCAGAGAGCAAAAGTTTACAAAAAATTATTTGGAAAATTGGCCGCACTGAAGGTTTTTAAAGACCCTGCAAATTTTGAGATCATTCCAGTTTTAACAAAGGTTCTATTAAACAATTCTTTCTTCGCAAAAATCGCTTGGTTTTTAGTTTTATCTCAAATGCTGACATCAGGTATTTTCGGTGAAAAATTATAAGAAACACTTGCAAAACTTTAGGTTAACATTACTGAACAGAAAAACCGCGTTTTTTCTAACGTTTCACCATAAAATACTGGTAAACTGTATCTTTTGTGCAAAAAATTAGGAGATCTTCTTCTTCTTTTTCAAACTGTCTCCGTCCACTCCTGAACGTAGGTCTCTCCCAAACTCTTCCATTTTTCCTTATCCTGTGCAATGTTCAACCATCGTTTACTTGCCACGTCTCTGATATCGTCTACCCATCTTTTCGACGGACGTCCCACGCTTCTTTTTGTTTGTCTCGGCCTCCATTCTGTGGTTTTAAGCGCCCATCTGTCTTTGAGTAGTCCAGCCACGTGTCTAGCCCATCGCCATTTCATTATTGCGACTTGCTCGACTATCTATCTCACTGATCTTCGTTCTTCTTCTGATCTCTTCGTTTCTAACTCTATCTCGAAGTGAGATACTGCTATGCTTCGTTCCGTAGCCCTTTGAGAAGTTCTGAGCTTTCTGGCGTAGGCTTTAGTGAGGCATATGGTTTCCATTCCGTATGTATTAACTGGCAGGACACACGTATTATACACTTTAACTCTCAAATTCACAGGAATTGTGTTGTTCTTCAGGATTTGTCCCAGTTTTCCGAAGGCTGCCCACGAAAGTCTAATTCGTCTGATAATTTCCGCACGCTGATTTTCTCTCCCCAGTTTGATAGTGTGCACTAGATAAATATACTCCTTTGAAGCACTTGTGCAATTACCCCCGATAATTTTCTATCTCTGTGTTATCACCTAATATCTCTCCTAATATAACTTCAGAATTGCACTTGCAGAATGAATTATTTGTCAGAATTCGAATTGCTTTCTTTGTAGTTTTTCCCCCCAGCTTCAGCATTTCTGTTGTAATTTGGTCTTCTCCTGGGCATCTGATATTTTTGATTTGTCTCAATGTGGTCTTAATTTCATCTTCTGTAATTTCCGGTACTTCTTCCTATCCTGCATTTAAAAAGGTTCTCTTTGATTGTGTTCGCGGTAGGTTGGATGAATATAATTTCCTATAAACCTTCTCGAGAGCGTTAGTGATGTCTTTTTATCTTGTACCAGCACATTGTTTTCGTCTTTTACTTTAGTCATTTTGTTCTTCATTTTGAGGGTTGTGAGCGGAGTACTTTCATTTTGCAATTGTCGTTGATGGTTTCGTCGATAATCTTTGTGTTGTGATTCTTATTGTCTTTTCGGATTTCTTTCTTTACCATTTTGTTTAGTTCTTTGAAGCTGTCCGATGTTCTATCTGTCCTATTTTTCCTCTCCTCTAGTAGTTTTAATGTGGACTTAATGTTGAATCTCTGTAATTTTTTGTACGTGAACATATTTTCTTGGTGGCCATTTTTATGGCGTTTGTGATTTTAGCCGTAAGTTGGTCTGTACCTAGTTGTTCTAATGTATCTGTGGGGGATAGTCCCTGATGTAGGTCGTTCTGGTATTGTTCTTCATTTAGTTTCAAAATCTCTCCCGCTGGGCTCTTTGCTCTGACCAGCCTATGATCACTTCCGGTGTAAAATTTATCCAAAACAGACTCGTCCATACATACATTGTCTATCTAATTACGTATTAATATACATAATACACATACTTCCATTTGAAAAACAAAAGTTATCTTTTGTTCAAAAGTTTTAGATTGAAGTCCACATTGTTAACACCCTGTCCAATGTATTGATATTTTGGTGTAATAGAATTCTTAACAGATCTGTGGTGATTGAAAAGACGTATTTTTTTGTATCTCTAACTGTTTTTTTTGCATCTACAATTAATTTTTAGATACCATGTTTTTAAGCAAAATTTTACTAAAATGGCGAAAATCTGCCAACGTCGCAAGTAAGAAAAAAAAACAATTTACGGTGCATATGCAGCGTTTCAAGCTGCATTTCATGAGCTATTGAAAAAAATCTATTTAAAAAAATACACTTTAATCTTGCGCGCTTTTCTGAGACACTCTGTATCATATACGATATTTTGAAAATGTGCGCACTTGTGCGGTAACAACTTTTATATGAAATCATTTTTCGAAAGTTTAGCACCAACGAAAATAATGGACTCTATCGCACTAAAAAACCATGTTCTTGTTATGTAACAATGTTCTTGTTATTTGAGACTATAAAGTCTATTTCGTTCTTCACTTTGTTGTCTGAGGTTTGCCATGTCCATTTACGCTGTTTGGGTTTTTTAAAGAACGTGTTAGACTGTAATTCCACTTCCACTTCCAAATAATTACTGGAGATTAGGAGATCGATACAAGAAAACTTGTAGACTTTCTTTGGACTCAGTTCTGTTGCTGGGAAAATCTAGATTACTTTTTCTCAGTTGTTTGAACAAAGTAATAAAATTTTTTGTTAGATGTGAAAATTCCAGGCTCGGATATCGTAAAGCTTTAAAAAATGACTTATAACTCATAGAGCGGCAACAACTCAATAGCACAACTTAACACAGTGTTACAAGAGTCTAATTCTTTGAATGATTGTGTTACTTTTGAAGAGTTTGCGCTTTCTTCAATTTCTTAATTGTTTCGAACAATTTGCCACAGTTTGCAATTTATTGGTCACCATCATCTAAACATTAAAAATGACAATCCCATAAAAAACGTAGAATTTCAACATAACTATTACGATCAACGAGGTAAGATCAGTTCCACTTGAACTTGATGTTGACTACTTAAAGCTAAGCAAGTGACAAAGCTTGTGGGTTTTTCCAGCTCCTTCCCGGCGACCAAATCCTCTCAGTGAACGGGGAAGATGTGAAAACAGCGCCCCGAGAGCACGTAATCGCCCTAGTCCGATCCTGCACTCATTCCGTTACACTGGAGGTATGCCAGCCAACCGAGCAACAGGGTGTGCGAAAGTCCACCCTACTTTCTGCCATGAAACGAGCCCGACTGAGGTCCAAGCCATCCAGGGTGCGCTTCGCCGAAAGCGTGTGCGTTAATGGAGCTCCATTATTTCCTGTAAGCTTCTCCATTATTCATCCAACACTTCGTAATTAACTTCTGCATTTTCTGCGATTTAGCCCTCAGCGTTTTCTTTGGGCGATATCTGCGTGCCTCAGATGGCCAACGTCCTCAAAGTGTTCCTGGAGAACGGCCAAACCAAGAGCTTTAAGTACGACGCCTGGACAACTGTCCAGGACGTTGTCAATTCGCTGCAGTCCAAACTGTGCATCCAGGCGTCGGAGTACTTCAGTTTACTGGTCGAACATATCAAGAGCTTGAAGCGGAATAAGCTCACTTTGCTTGATCCGCACGATTCCATTGCAAAGGTAGGATTCCAGATTCATATTACCTTAAAATAAAACGTTTTCTCTAAGTATCTCAAGGGATTTATTTACTTGTCTGGAAAATTTCAGATCGCCTCCCAACCAGGCGCTCATAAGCTGCGTTGCCTGTTCAGGGTGACTTTTGTGCCGATCACAGCAGCTTCATTAGCACAGCGCGACTTAAACGCTTTGGACTATCTGTACAGTCAATGCTGTAACGATGTGATCCAGGAGCGATTTTCACCGGAACTCCAATACGATACTGGGCTGCGATTGGCCGCCCTCCACATGTACCAACACGCCTTAGCAAATAACATGCAGGCCAATAAGCTGACAGTGAAAATTGTTGAGTAAGTATTTGTTGAGTTCTTCAACTTCAATCTTTTTCAGTACTAACAATCTGTATCTGAAAATTATTCATCCTCAAGCAACTTTTCGATATATGGATTTCTAAAACTAGTACATACGTTGCCTTGAAAAGGTATGTTTCTATCGACTATTTTCCCAAATTTTCATATTTGATGCGGTTCGATAGAGAAAAGCTTCGGATGTGCTTGATATAAAAAACCAAAACCGCTCAAAATATTACCAAAGTTTAAACATTAGGTACGAAAGAACCAATAGCAACTTGATACCAAATCCACCCTACGAGTCAGCTGATAGTAGCAAACTGAATATTCATACACCTTTTCGACAAAACGACACCGAACTACACAATGATTATTTAATAATTTGCTTGTTCGCTCGTTCCATGGTTCATTGCTTCGGCAGTTCGATTTCAGTTTGTTTATGGAGAAAATTATAAAATTCGAAATCCGGATTTTTAGTAGAAAGTATTGGTTTTCAATGTATGAATAACACTTTGAAATGAGAAGAAACGAAAATTGAAAATAACAAATGTAGCCTAATGCACCAGATTGATGAAAATACTGTTGCAAGCGGTCTGGTTCTTGGAATCATAGCAGTCCGATATGATTTCAAAAAACGGTGTGTTTTGTCTATTGTATGAATTAATTTAGATTTTATATCAGTTTGTCGTCTAGTTTCTTTATGTAACAGGTATATGTACTACTGTATCAATTGAACTTTGACCACCCCGTTTTTGCATCTAATTTGAAATTTAGAGGAAAATGTTAAATACAAAAGTTGCAGATACTAACGTCTAGTCTATTTTAAGATAGCAATAATTGATACAGGGTGTCTCAAATTCAAGTAGCAGATCAAACTTACCTTTTTTAAATGGAATGCCGTACTTTTTATTGCATATTCGAACTATTCGCACAATTCTAGGCCTACTCGATATAAATGCTGATGATTTTGATTCTGATCATCAATGATTTTCAACTGTTTTTGAGTTAATAACCAATAATGATTGAACTTTGGCCACCCCGTTTTTGCATCTCATTTGAAATTTAGAGAAAAATGTTAAATACAAAAGTTGTAGATACTAACATCCAGTCTATTTTAATTTTTATTGTATATTCGAACTATTCCCAAAATTCCAGTCCTCTTTGGTATACATTTTCTATATTGATCTTCAACTGTTTGTGAGTCAATAACCATTTAAATATTCGGGCATTCCGTTTATAAAAAATTGAGGTTGGCCAGGCACTTGAATTTGAGACACCCTGTAGCAATCGTTATTATCATAAAACAAACTAGATGTCAATATCTACAACTTTTGTATATAATATTTTGCTCTAAATTTCAAATTAGATGTTAAAACGGGCTGACCAAAATTCAATCAATATTGGTTATTAACTGAAAAACAGTTGAAAATTATTATAGAACATTTATATCGAGTAGGTCTAGAATTGTGCGAATAGTTCGAATATGCAATAAAAAGTACGGCATTCCATTTAAAAAAAAGCTATGTTTGGTTTGTCACTTGAATTTGAGACACCCTGTAT